CTTGGAAACACCTTGGAAACACCTTGGAAACACCTTGGAAACACCTTGGAAACACCTTGGAAACACTATCGATGCATCTTGGAAACAACTTGGGAACTGTTCATTTGCAACGATCATGAAATAAAATCATGAAGACGAACCTTGGGTCAACATGCACGTCAGTGAGGGAGTCTTATTATTTGTAATGAGGATATAATTTGCGCTGTATTTTGAGAAGCTTTAGACTGAAGTTAAATGTTGATTTAAAAACAATTATAAACCGAACTTTGACCTGTTCAACAATTGATGGTTATTTTTATCAGTATAAACAGACAAAGAGCGTCAAAAGAGAACAAGTGGGCTTTTATACTGTGCTTGAAAATATAAGAGGAGTCTTAATTGAGGGGATTGAGTAAATCGTTTTTTTTTTAACATATTGAGAGTTAGCGAGCCACGGTGGTGAAAGTGGATCAATCAATGACTGCAAATTTGAAATACGCTTTTTTTTTTGTCAAACAGAACTTCAGTATAAGCTGAACCTTTAAAAAGAAAAGCGTTCTAGTTTTCTTTTTCCCGGGCATTTCCATTTATCACCTCTCCAAATATCATATTCAGTACAACGTTCCAATAGTGAGAACAAAATTCATGCCATATGAAATGTACCAGCCTTGACATCCATGGATATATGGTTAAACAATTTTATTTATAAAATATAATGGCCACAAGGGGCGCATGATATTTTTATTATATTGTTTTTGTCCTGGCCAGTTCAAGTTGTGAGGCAGTATCTAAAAATCCCTCTGGACTCGAGGGCAAAAATGCTTTGACTGACAGATTCACGGAATAAGTGTTAAAAACACTGCTATGAAGAGTTAAATAACCATTTAATCAGTTTCTGCCCTGGGTCAGATGATGACGGTGGCTCTTTTCATGGTATAGGTAATCAAGCTCATGTAAGATAGCGCAGATTACGGGCCATCTGATAGTCTAAAACGATCTTGTTTGACAAGAGCGTGGCTTTCGAGTGGGAAGCTTATTTAAAAGGAGGGACAGAGGATCAGTTATAGACTTCGGTATTTGTAGACGGTGATGCACGTCGAGGCAATAGATGGCATGTTATTTTGTAAGAAGCTATGAGGTGTGTCGAAGGCAGCGAGTAGTGTTATAACTGGGTAACCAACCAAGATGCCACCGTATGTATCGGATTCTTTCCAGCCTTGTCATGGGTAACCAAAGAATTGGATCCAAAGAGATTGTTAGGCAACACAGTGAGAGCAGATTTAAGCTGCGTGCAGTACGCCGCTGTTCTAAGTTGTCTTGCAGATATTGCAGACGTATCTTCTTTAACAATCGTTTGCCTAGTATATCAGTATATTGCGCACAACGTTTCCACAGTGGCGTTTTTGATATAGTATATGTGGAAGTAAGTAAGTCAGAAGCGCATCATCTGGCAATGACAGAGATCGTAAGAGGAATTGCGCTTGTAGTATATGAGTACGCTCTGTCATAGTTGACAACTTCGTCTGTTGTTCCATGGATATACTGTATTTCCAAAAAATAATGAGACTGAATGTCGTGCTTTCCAAAGTTAGATGTCGTATTGAAACCGTTGTAATGTTATCAGAGTAATAACAAATACAAAAAGAATATGGCTCACTATCCCATTTGACAGTAATATTAACAGGTGGGCTGTCTTGGAGTTGAAACTAACCTAGTATTAGAAATCGCCCTCTTTAGTCTCTCTGTAAAAGTTTAAATTCTTTATTCGGTTTTTCCATGAAATCAGAAGAACATGTAGTCATATTTGGCAATGCATATTCTTGAATGGCCACCATGTAGATTGCTTCTATTTGACATGATTTCTTTGTCTTAAGTATTCAATCCTGAAATCTGTTTGAAAGAAAAACATATAAAAACCCATTTTAATCGAGTCCTTTTTTTGCTTCTTTACAGCAATTATCAAATGTCCCTCTGGGTGTTCAAAGATTTACCAATCAAAACTAGCCTGTCCTCATGGTCCTTACTCTGACTCGCTTGCCCCGCCCTCTTTGCTCTCTGGCGTGTATCTAGAACGTTCCCTACTAGTCTCTTCTGACGCCCTGGGTTCTCTCTGTCCTCCGTTCCTTTTTTTTTGTTTAAACTTTCCTGGGTAGTTATCGCTACCCTCCCCAGAATGCACCTTGGTGGTAAGTAAAACTAATATTGGGATATGTGCTCTAATACTAGCTTACTTTTTCTCTCTTTTTCTACATATACTCATTATCTCTCTCTCTTTTGACATGATGTCGTTTTATTCAAACCTATTTTTCTTTGTCGTCTTTTTACGAAAATATTTTATAAAATTAATGTCAATAATTAATAAAAATACAGTACTGTCTAACCCCACCTCTGGGCAGTTCGAATGTGAATGCTCAACTGCTTCGCTGCAGCTGATGTACTCATACACTTCTCAATCTTCAGGCCGAAAAATCTAACCTTATTCTGGACGGTATAACGCTCATAATCACGTTTCATGCTGGCCTCCTTCATACGAATGTCTTCATCTTTTGGCTTTTCTATTCGCATTGGACAAGCCGATGAAGATTTGCTGGAAGCTACATTTTTCAAGTAATCAGTGTGAGTGGCAATTGTCTCAACAACAAACTCATTTTGATCGACAATGTACTCCATGGACTCAGGGCCGCCATTCTCATCAACGACATTTCCATGTCCATCTTCAAATAAATTTTTTTTTTTTTCGAATGCCAAGAAATCATGATGACACGACATCATTTCAAGCAAAGAGGCATGGTTTCCAAAAGTACGACTTCCATTTCTGAAAATGCACTGTATAGTCAGGACATTAAATTGCAACACAAACTAAAATGATAATGTGACCCCTGAAATTTTTCCAAAGATGATCTTCGTTTAAAGAGTCAAGTATATACGATAATTTGATAAACCACTACTTCTTGCCATTGTTGCTTGTACATCCGTAATTTAACAACCATATTTCAGAGTTTTTGTTTACAACTTGCTTGAGCTTCCTACACTGCCTTCAGATGAAAAAGATTCTATATAATGATTAGATTTAAAATACTTTTTGAGATCCAAAGATTCAAAAGTGGGCAAATTAATATATCTATGGGACGTCTTTTTAAGCTTACCTATATCTAATTTATTTATACAATGGTATATGTTTTAGTTTGATATTTTGACGTTGAATGGATGTCTACGGAATATAGATAAGTTTCTTTGATCGAGGTCGCGCATATAAACGCAAGATGCAGAGCCTCGTTTATTGGCTACAGTGAAGGATTTTCAGTCCTGAAGGAATAAAGAACATATAGGTCTTACATCATTTTATAAATACTCAGAGCATGAATCAGATAGATCGCAGTAACATTATTTCGGGAATAAGTGTATTTTTATCGCCCTACAGCGTGTCAGGAGTGGCCAACTTTGCTGTGTGTTACAGAAGATAGTTGCATGATCCATTGTCATACTACCCAATTATAGTATTTTGCCCGACAGATAACCTGGGAACATACAAATTTCCAAATATAGGAAGAGACAACGCTTTTCTCTTCTTCTATGAATTTGCCATTATCTTTATGTAAAGAAAAATCAAGCATCAAAAAGGGTCATAATTACCAATTATTAAAGGATCGAACAAATTAAGACATGACCAAGTACGTATATATCTCCTTTTGCTTTAGCAAAGACTGACATCTTGATTTAAAAATATCAGAAACCGTTTAAGGCGGTATTATAAAAAAGTTAAAAATAACTTGGCGAATATGTCATTCAAGCAACCTTCTTGAGCTATCTTAAGGGTAGACATGCTACAAGACATAGCATGCAAAAGAGTTGATATGATATTAATCTGCTCATTTTGTGTTTAAAAAGCCTTGGCGATCAGAACTCATCAAGATGTGTGTATATATGTGTGTGTGTGTGTGAAACCTCATCGTAATTGACTGAGCGGGACAAGACATCGAATGCTTATAAAAGGAGGCACGCCATGATCTGATGTATTTATTAACGCCCCTTTCCTTTCTTTTTTAATTTAATTATACAAATGCGTCTCACCCTTCTTGCTTCTTTGGCTGCCATTGCCACTGCTGTTTCTGCTGTTCCTGTTGAAAAGAGAGCTGTCAAGGCCAAGGTTTACACTACCTGTTCCGTTCCTGGCACTATTGCTTTGACCTTTGACGATGGACCTTACGAATACACTTGGGCATTGGCTGATACGCTTAAATCTAAAGGTGTTACCGCCACCTTCTTCATGAACGGTAACAACTGGGTGTAAGTAACTCTCCTTTTTTTTTTTTCTTAATGATAGCCTAATTTAGCCTGATGTATTTTTTATAGTGATGTTGAACGTCAAAGCGTAAAGACTCCCGCTGGTACAAAGACTTACAAGCAAGTTATCAAGCATGTCTATGACAAGGGCCACCAAATTGGCAGCCACACTTTTAGCCACAAGGAACTTGCTGGCCTAAGTGCTTCTCAGGTCAAGTCTGAAATGACCAAGCTTGAAAAGATTTTCAAGTCTGTCATTGGTAAGACTCCTGTCTACATGCGTCCTCCTTCCGGTGCTTATGATGACAACACACTCGCTACTCTTGGTCAACTTGGATACAAGGTTATCCTCTGGGATATTGATTCCAATGACTGGAGATACAAGGATATTGCCAGCCTTGCTAGCGAACAACAAGAATACAAGAGCGTCATTGAAGCTGATAACAAGAAGAAGCCTCATGGTCATATTGCTCTTCAACATGATGTTCACAAGAAGACTGTTGACAAGCTTGTTCCTTGGGTTATCTCTTACATCAAGAGCAAGAAGAACTACAAGTTTGTCACTGTTGCTGAATGTCTTGGTAACACCAAGAACAGCGCTTACAAGAGTAAATAAATGCACTCATGTATCATTACTCATTAGAATTTAAATGTTTTAATAAACTGTGTACTTTAGAAAAATGAGCTCTCTTTTTTCAAAAATAATTGACAAAACAAGGATGCTATGTTATTTATTACTGTTGTGCTTGCAAAGTGTAGTCTATAATAAATGATTGGGTTATAAGGTCGTCTATACGTTGATAGTGTCTATCAGTGTACGGTAACAGACCATCAATGATCTAGAAATAATGCATTAGCCTCCTTGTAAACATCTATATGCTTTCTTACCTCTTTAGCAGATGGTATTTCAACAATTTCTTCTGCGCTACGCGACATTAAAATGGCATTCAATACTGTTTGTGCTACATCTGAATGTTTTGCATTTGTGTTCCAATCTCGGATGTACTTTAGCATTTTTTCGATATTTTCGATTGATAATTCTGCAAGGATTTTATCTACATTTTCTGATCCAGTAATGCTCTGGTCCCCTTCTGGTCTGGATTCAGAAACTTCCTTGAATAGATGTAGTAAACGGTAAGGCTGTTCTAGCGATAATGCCAATAGAATAGCATTTAGATAATCTTTCTTGCGCATAAAGTTTTGCAATTCTTGTTCCCTAAATTAAAATGTTAGTTATGTTGATGGACAAGACACAACGCATTTTACTTGATAATCAATTCTTCTTTTTCTTTCAACTCTTCTTCTTGTTCTTGTAAAGTGACATCTTCCCAGAAATTAACAACAGAGTCAGCACCTGCAGATACTACAAACTTTTCGTCTTTTCGAATAGCCAAAGCCCACACTTTTTCAGTGTGATTATCAAGTGTAGCCGCACACTCGTTTGTCTTGATTGTCCACACTTTCACCAGACCATCTGAAGCGGCAGACACTAATTGCATACCAGCTGTCAAAAACTCAACTCGAAGGACTGAGTTAGTATGGCCTTCAAATGTCTTTAAGCATGTGAAGTCTTTTAAATTCCATATCTTGACTGTCTTATCACCAGAACTTGTAGCCAAGACCTGGTCTACAGGAGAGAATCGTGCACACCAAACACCACGCTTGTGACCTTTCATGGTACCAACCAGTTCTCCCGTGTCCACGTTCCAAAGTTTGGCTGTCTTATCCTGTGAACCAGTTGCAAAGAATTTATCATTGGGAGCAACGCAAATGGTGTTGATGTCTTTATCGTGTGCTTGATGAGTGTATAATGATTTGGGTTTAAAGTTTTCGTCTGGGTTATCCAAATCCATCTCTCTCAAGTTCCAGTACTTTATTGTTCTATCTTGACTTCCTGTGATCATAAAAGTCTTTGATTTTCTAGATAATGCAACTGCACCTACTGATTCTGTATGTCCAACACATACACCTGCAGGCATATATTTCTTCTTATGATCTTCTTGTGCTGTATCAATCTTCCAGAGACGTGCTGTCTTATCTTTAGATGCTGTGACAAGAAGCGTACCATCTCTTGATCTATCCAAAGAAATGATCATGTCTGTGTGTCCATACAGTAAATCACAGTCTTGTGTTTCGACATTGTATATTCTTAATTGGGCACTATTGGTAGCTGCTGCCAAGTATGTCTCATCTTCTCCCACATAAGCAACATCAACAACTTCGTCATTATAACCAACAATCTGCTTTACACGTTCAAGTTGTTGTTCCAGAGAGTACATGAGAATATTTTGATCATTGGTCACGACTGCTAAAACTCTAGCGCTTTTGATATATACAACGTCTGTAATCGTATGCTGACTATTCTTTTCGGGTTCTTGTGCCTTGATCAATTTTCCAGTCTTCATATCCCACAGCTTGACAAGTCCTGAATCGCCTGCAGTATAAAAGATGTCGGATTGAGCGTATTCACTGCCAAACTTGGCCGTCACTTCCTCATTCTTTTCAACAAATCCAACTGTTTCAATCGTTTCAAAAATGGGATATGTGGCCCTAAGCTGTTTTGCTTTCCAGTCCCATACGTTCACAACTTTATCGCGAGAACCAGATATAAGGTACTGACCATCTGCAGAAAAGTCAAGACCACGGATAACACTGACATGACTCTTCAATACGGCTACACTGTTTCTTGATTGTAAATCCCAAATTCTCACTTGACAGTCGACTGCACCTGACGCAAGATACCATTTGCCTTCATGCTTGTGGAACTTGAGAGCACTGATAACGCCTCCGTGTCCTTTAAAGTTATGTGTACAGTAACCCTTATCAATATCCCACACTTTGACGGAACCATCTGCAAAACCGGTAGCTACCAAGGTTGATGTCTCATCGATATCCATGACAATCACAGGTGCAGAATCATGTGCCTTGAACGTTCGGACACATTCTCCCTTTTCAAGTTCCCAAATTCTTATGAATAAGCTTCGACTAGCGCTGACTAGATGCTTTCCATTGGGCTTAACAGCCATGGTGGTCACCAGTTCAGTATCCTATAATAAAATTAGCATGCTTTAAAGCAAATGAATAATGTTGCAAACATACGCCTTCTAATTGATGAACTTGCTTTCCTGTTGCAAGTTCAGTAACAATAATATCCTCGCTAAGTGTTGAAATCAAGTATTTTGAATCCTGAGTAATCTCAACCTTGCCACCATTATAGATTGATTCAATTGTTTTGATGGACTTGAAACTATTAAGGTATTATTATCATGTTCACAGTGTGTTTAATTCAAAGTACCTTGTCTTCAATATCAATTTCGTAGATTCATCGGCCATGTTGAGAAATAGACTGCGATAGAAACAATAAAGTTGCCCTTTTTGCTTTTCTTGTGGTAGAACTTCAGAATGAAATGCAGTCACTGTGGCTTGCTTATATCAAGGTTTATGCAATTAAAAAGAAGCTTTTACAGTCAAGTCTGAGCTGTTTACATCATATCAAAAAGAGATTAACGTACATTACAAAGACAAAAAAGAAGAACATAAACTCATATCTCAACAACGGCCTTGACAATGATCGAAGAAGAAGGATGTTTAGTAGAAAGAACATCGAAAAAAAAGAACAATACAGATGCTGTCAACGAAGTCGGCCCGGCTGGTGAAAGTATCGTTCGAAAGAGTTTTTGCTGATGCTTCCAGTGAATATGATGATGCCAAAGTCGATTTGATTAGTGAGGTTGTCAATCGAAAGATATTACCTGTTGCTGCAAGTAAAGGTGATGCCGATATCGATTTTATAGCTAGCTTGGATAAATCACACGACAACAACTCCTTCACTGAAAACCGTTTGTTCCCGACTGTGAACTCCAAACAAGCCAATATACAATTATACTCTACTATGATATATTAAATAGAGATATTATTGTACGTTGTTTATTAGTTATTCCTGCTTATCTGATTTATTGCTGATCCCAATCCGGGAATTAATTTAACAAGAGAAAAGCCCACTATACGTTTAAGCAGATTTTTATTTATAAATAATTAAAACCTCAATTGGGCGCAAGATTATAATATTACATCTTTCCCGCCTGAGATAGTTCATAAAGGAAGGATAGTGGTGATTAAAAAACCCTTTTGGGATGAAGGATAAAAATGCTTTGGAAGGAGTGAATGAAGTCAAGTGTAAGTTGCACTAGTGAGAAGGAGAAGAGGAGATCCATTCTAAGAATCTTTGCCCGAGGCGAGTGGGCGGAGTAGGCGGAAGCTTAGCGTGATATAGGTAATCAAGTTCATACAGGATTCTGCATATAGCTGGCCAGTGGATTCTCCACGAGAGCGAGGTTTTCTGGTAGGTAACATATTTAAAAGGAAGGACAATGGGTCAGAAATGGTTTGAGGCAGCACGAGTCTACAGTGCATCTGGAGACAGTGAATGGTATGGGCTTTTGCGAAGGGCTGGCCAGGGTGCCGAGGATAAGTATCGTATCGACCACCAGAGGGCTATACAACTTCACACTACCAAAGTGTTTACCTAACATAAGGCTGTCCAGTTCACTCTCTTTAATATAAAATACGATTTATCATAATTACTCTTGAATCAACTTGGTTCTTTGTTGATAGATTGACAACATAAAATTAGAATAATTAGAATAAATAACAACATTTTATCTCTTTCTTTTTGAAACTTTATAAAAGTCATATTCAACATCAAGGAACATGGAAAGATATCTCTTCCTAAACAAGTTTAACGTGACACTGCACATCGAAAAGGTTTGTTGACGACATCACAGGTAGCGCTTGTGATATTAACCCTCTCGAAAATTTCCTTGTGCGCGTAGTGTACACCGTTAAATATTATCAGGGCTAATCCATTTTTGCTGATATATAGAGGTAATGAAAGCCCTGCTTCTTCCGAGCATAGAAATAGTATGCAAACAATTGGTTGCATATGCCAGGAAAAAAGAAAAATTTCTGGCAAACATGCAGATCTCCGTTACTACTACGGTTCCATTGAAGTCGCATGCCTCGAGATCGGACTTGTCGATAGTGGCTCTCATGGCACAAAGGAGCTAAATGAAGTAGGTATCAAGGCGCCAATAATGATGAAGAGCGAAGCTCTTCAAATATCGCAACAGTACGGTATCAACATGAGCGGTATTAAGACTGTTGGCTTCATGATATACGGTAAGGAGTAAAAAAGAAAAATCAAAGAATAACCGTATATGACTTAGACTCATTTATGTAATAGGTTTAAACTTGACTGATCTTTTAGTGAACTTTGAAGGCTTAATGTCTTTGGTCACTCGATTAAAACGGCTGTGCTTGCCTGAAACGGTGGCTGATACCCCTCGTCTTTTTCCTCTTGTTTTGAAACTGGTCTTTAATGCAGTGCAAATTGTCAAAGGTACCATAAATACCATTAAAGAGGCATCGACGTCTGTTTGTTTGGATAATGACAATGACTTGCCATTCCCTCTCCTCTTTGCTATGTCAGCAGCAACAAAAGAAAAACTCCTGAAGATGATTAGCTGATACCATCATGCCTTATGCTTTCCTATCCTTATGCTCTCCTATCACTAAACCTTCCTACTGTCTCTACCAATCCTTAAATATCAAATATTCTTTTACCTCCTATACCTTTCCGCCCTTATATCCTATGCCGTTCTGCTCTTATACCCTGCTCCTATCTTTATTTATGCCATCTTACTGTGTCCAGAAGCCCTGTCAGTAGTTGTAGCTTGAAGTAACCCGACCGAAAGTAGCATCCAGTGAGTCATATATGATTTGATATATAAGATGGTTGAGCTCTTCTATACGTCTCTGTGCTATTTTTATGTCATCAACCTGGTGGGAAACAGATTGAGTTGACAGTTCAAGACGGGTCAAGGTTGACTGCACTTGTTGAGTGTATGCGTCGCGAACATTTTGTTCTTTCAATTTTCCAAGATTCCATATGATTCGTTGTACTTGTATCGGTTGATAGAGAGCAATGCTTTTAAAAGAGAAAGAGATCGTCTTGTGATCGGAACTGAGGGGTTTGTCCGTAAAGATTCTCATTTCTGGATCGCATAGTACAGTAATGCTCATGAAAAGATCAATAATACTGCTCTCTTTATGTGTCAGAAATGTAGGTTGACCAAAAACCAGTCGTCTATTCCATACGATAATGTCCTTTTCTTTAAGCCAGCGGTGTACAACGTTACCCCGAGGATTGGTCGAGCGATCCCCTGTGTAGCTGAAGCAGTTGTTTTCATCGTGGTTAGTGTAACGTACAATGATGCGAAAGAGCTCCAATTGTGCAAATCGTAAAAAACAGTCATGACTGCTTACATTTAAATGGTTAATACTCCCTTATTATCTGTTTCTTCTTTCCCTCGACCCAGCAGTTCTGTCAGCATGAAAAGTCCTTTTTCACATTTGTCTCTACGCGAGCCAAATATATGAACTTTGTTGACCTACTACAGCCAGAAAAGAGAATGTTGAGCCAGCATTCTGATAGTACATAATCTGTAATTAAAAGAGTTGACGAAAGCTGAAAAAGACCATTTGACAACAAATGTCATACCTTTATTGACAAGGCTAATACTAAGCGCACTATGAGTCATAGAGCCAACAAATAAAATTATTCGTATAAATCATAATCTATCCCCTCATCAAACGAATCTATGTTGACGAAAACTTTGATCAAAGGGTTTTCGTTTACTGTTTCAGTCCATTTTTTGGTTGTTCTATTTTTGCATTGTATGTCTACCAAGTATATCGCTTTATCTGGCGAGCCATCGTCAATTACTAATAGCGCCTTTCTACCAAACACATCTATTAAACTACTGTAATGGCTTTGAGAAGACCAAGCATTCGAAGGTGCAGTATCAAAGGAATCGAATAGCATATCCACTCTACTTTCAACTTCATCCATAGAGGGGCAAATAATTGTAATGTTTACATAACGTACTGACGGTAAGAGG